TCTCTCTCTCTCTCTCTCTCTCTCTCTCTCTCTCTCTCTCTCTCTCTCTCTCTCTCTCTCTCTCTCTCGTAATCATAGCAATGTTCCTGCAGCGACACACCGCAGCGTAATGTGGCTGACGGTATTCACCCACTTGATCTATATGTAATTATTGATATCGTGTAAAGATCAGTGGATTTGCTTTAACCAATACATAAATCACGGTCAATGCAAACAATCTTCGATAATTTTGTGTCGAGATAGTTTTACAACCAGTTGACAGGTAGTGAGACTTTGCATTAGAAAAAGGGATGACATACAGGTAATTGTAAACATAACACAATCAAGATACTCGATATGCAAGCCAGGAAAACGCGAGAATGTGATTATGCTTTCGTAATTATGCGTATATAGCTATTATGCTCCTTCGATATAATGAGACTGTGAGGCCGAATCCCTCGCCTCTTTCACCACGTTGGGGAATGAAAATAAAATCTCCATGATCAAACGTTGTAATATGACCCATGATCAAGTGATGTTACACACTATAGGCATTGCATTGTAATCAGTCCCATAGTATCGTTCAGAAAAGCTACCGTGTTGCGCACGCATTCACAGTCATCCCAACACATAACCCTATTGGAACGCTAATACCTTCAGTATTCTCTTCTATGGCTGCAATGCCTGTTTAGTAAATGCTGCCAAAGGTAGGCCGGCTGGCAGGTACATACTTGCACCGCATATATGTCGTTACCACCTACAGTGTGTGACGTGAAACACAACTCTTCCTCAAATCAGCAGCGTAGGTACCTCGCTGCACTTTTCAAATTTACTTGTCGCTGTGGTGCTTCCCATTTTGCTTGTGATTTTAGGGATTCGACCGAAGAGAGCTCTGACATTATCAGAGCTTGTGACGCATCGTAGTAATCGTGTAAGAGTCTGACTGTGTGAGATAACTACGTTATGACATCATTGATAGAGAACCTAGGAGTAGCAGCATGAGAGATGTCATCGCCATGGTTACTGATGAAGCTGCGCTTATCCCATCTGCAATGATAAAAATCTATTATGAGATCTAGCGCGTGTTTTATGCGTTTCTCATTACACAGGTACAGTGGTGCGCTACGGTAAGAGAAAGGCAGCATAAATCCTTTCTTGCCATCATCTTTTCGCATGGTACATAGCTCAACTCTTCCCCTGTGCTGATATATTTGCCGTAACCAACACCCCTTCTTCTCTGCTAAGAAAAGCGACAGCCCTTCCCACTACTTATACTATGAAAAGCAACAGCCATCCTCAACGCCAGCACTAACAACGGCAATAACGCCCTTTTCCTGCTAACATGTAAGTAAGCAACATGTAGTAAAATCATTACAATCTTGCCCTTCAAGTACAATCTTGTACAATCTTGTACAATCAAGTGCAATCTTGCCCTTCTCCCTGACAACACTACGACATGCGATGCACACGCACGCACGCACGCACGCACGCACG